AAATAGTAATAAACTAAATAATAATAATAATAATAATAATAATAATAATAATAATAATAATAATAATAATAATAATAATAATAATAATAATAATAATAATAATAATAATAATAATAATAATAACAATAATAATAATAATAACAATAATAATAATAATAATGATAATAATAACAATAGCAATAATTGAAAGAGAATTAATGATATCGTTATATGCTCAATTTATTTCAGTGATCGGAAAAAGATTTAAGAAATTTAATGAGTAAAGTATGATTGGTAGATTGAATAGCAATGACGTAAAGTAAATGAGTAAGTAAACATTCTTCTCTCTTTTCAACTGTTTTTTCTTCCTATACTTTTAACCCTTTTTTTTAACGTGTCGTTAATTGTTTACTTCATCTTCTTCTTCTTCTTCTTGTTCATTAACTGTCATTAATATTTGAGAAAAAAAAAACATTTGGTTGATTGCTTAAAAAATTTTTGGATTAGACATATAAAACATAAGCATTATCGATTAATTAACAAATTAATTAATTAATTAATTAAGCCGTTAATCATAATTTATTTAGTGGTAGTTACTCTAAAATAAGTATTGTGATTTCAACAATGATCATTATAATGGTTACGATATTGAATTTTAAAAAAAATTTTTTTTTCAATAAGCTGAAAATGAACAATGGATGTGGAATAGAGAGAGAGAAAACGAGAAGAGGAGGAAGATGAAAAAGAAATGGAAGCGAGAGGGAGAAAGAAAGAGAAGGGGAGAGAGAAGGGGGGAAAGGAAGAGGTTGTTGGGGGAAAAAAAGAGCGCAAATAATAGCGGATGATGAAAAGTGGAATATAATTTGAACAGCTGCCAGTTGTATAAGAATAAGAAAAAGGAGAAGAAGGAAAAGGAGAAAGAGAAAGAGGAGTAGGAAGAGGAGAAGAGATAGTGATGAGGTAAATGTGGCAGGGAAAGGAAGGAAAGAGAGGGGAAATATGGAGGAAGTGGAAGGAGAAGGAGGAGGACAAAGAAAGTAATTAGCTTTATGCTAAATATTCTAGCTAAGCTAAATATGCTAATGGTAGAAGGTGGTGTTTGCTTTTTGTTAAATGAATGAAATGAATGAACGAATGAATGAGAATGAGTGAATGAATGGATGAATGAATGAATGAATGAATGAATGAATGAATGAATGAGTACAATGAATTTAGTGAATTTTCGCCTTCCTTAAATTAAGAAGCATTGCAAGAATGATTGGCAAAATTAAAGTTTCGATTTAAGTATTTAATTCTTTTCTTAATTTCCCTCCTTTTTTTTTCTTTCAATAATTTAATCAAATTATAATTAAAATTAGGAACAAATGATCGATGTATAAATAAAAGCTTCAAATTCAGGAGATTTTCTTTAATTACCAATAAATTATATTAATAAATGGATTAATGAATTTGTGAAATTAATCCAAATTGCATAATGTTAGAATCAGATAGATTAGTTATTTTATAATGAAGGAAAAATTGCATGCGAAAATAATTGTTGATAAATTTAATCGTTATCAATAATTAAAATTTAGAGAAAGAGCTATAAACGTTTGCATGCTTAGGTGAAACTTATCATTCAGTTAGAAATTTAAAAATTTAAAAACCGGCTGATATGATAAATTTGTAATTTAGAAGAATATGCATGCAACATAATGTATATAACATTGATAAATGATAAAAGTGATAAGATAAATGATAGTTAAGCCAATCTATTAATTAGCATTAAATAAGTGAAATTATAAAAAGATGAAAAGAAAAAGTTAAAGTTAAATGATGTTTGATAGTACTATTCTCAAATGAAAACATTTTAAAAATATAAATTAGTATTTGCTTATTTGCACATGTGCGTGGGTGTGGGTGGATGTGTGCTTGTATGCGCGTGTACGTGTATGTGTGTATATGTGTGTGGGTGTGCATGTGTGTGGGTGTATGCACATGTATATGCACGTGTGTCTGTGCATGTGTATGTGGGCGCGTATGTATGCGTGTATGTGTCTATGTGGGTGCATGCATGTATGGATGTGTGTACGTGTGTACATGCGTGTGTGAGCATGCATATGTGGATACGTGTGTGGGTGTAGGTGTGTGTACTGTGAGTGTATGTGTATGCATGTCTGTGGATGTGTATATGTGTATATGTGTACATGTGTATGTGTGTGCTCCTGTATGTGTGTATGTCTGTGCATGTGTGCATGCGTGTGTGTGTGTGTGGTGGGTATATGTGCGTGTATTTCCATGTTGTTCAATTTTTAAATCATTTAGATAGTATTTGAAGTAAACAAAAAGTACATTGCCTACATAGCTTATCCACTTACAACATCTATTCCGGCAACAATTATCAGGTAGTAAATGCAGAGACAATTGCAAAGCTTGTTGTAGTAGTACTGTTGTTATTGGTATAGTATTTTAATAGCTCCAACAATATCAATCAATAAAATACTTGTGCTAATATGTTTAGCAAATAAGATTGATAAAGTGAGGATGAAATATTGGAAAAATTCAACAGATTTATTGGGTAATATTTTGATTGATTGTGGCACTTTTCGAATGTTAATATCAATAATTGAATCAATAATTAAAATCAATAATTGAAATTTAATATATCGATTCAATTTCACTTCAAATTTACATTTTTATACAATTTTTCAAAATATTTATCAAATTTTATATACAAAAAAAAAAAATAGTAGTAACATGCTATTAAATATCTGTGATATATTATTAAACGAATATTAAAAATGCATGAATCTCTTTCATATATAAATAATTAAATAATTAGTTTATTAGCAGTTTATACTATTCACTTGGAAAAACGGAGGGAGAGAGAGAGAAAGGGGAAGAGAGAGAGAG